TTTTGTTCTTTTAAACAGGAATCTTTGCTAACTGCTTCAATAAAGAAAGAAAAGAAATTATTTCTCATAGATAAAAATGGCCCATATGGACCAATTGTACTGCAAGGTTACCGTGAAAAAGAAGAATTTACATTACGGGAAGACTATGAAACAGAGTTCTTTCATGCTTCCATCTTGCAAGGCAGAATATAAAAGCAAGATATAGAGGCAAAGGACTTCACTTGAACTTGACAGATACATTACAGACACAAATTTCATCAAGGAGGATATACTGGGAAAAAACAGTATGTCAAACAGAATCTCTTGATCTATACTAATACAAATTACAGGTATGTGTCACCAACAGCCAAAATCTCTGTCAGCAAATGCATTAACTCTCCCATCCCCTTACAGGTTAGCATTTAAGAATGACCCAGTATTTTGAAAATACCGTGTACTTTCCTCTTCTTGGGATAAAGATCTGAGAGTGCAGACAAGAGAAATTCATCCAGGCTTAAGACTAGAGAATAGTCAAGCAAAAAATCTAATCCATGGTTCAGCGAAAGCAGACCCTACAGGCACTGAGTACCAAGACATCACCACTGTGGTGGAGCTTTTTGGTTATGGGGCACAAAAACTTACTTTATGCAAGCATTTCTAGTTAAAATAAACAAATAAATAAAACTATCATCAGCATTTTCATCTCCAACACCCTAATCCAGCCAAGACTGATAGGAAAGAAAATACTCTAAAAGTTTTATTTAGATTTGATCCTCTTCAAAGGCAGTAGGGCTGTACTACTTTGAATATTACTTTCTCTTCACTCGAAGCTTTAGGATTCCAGGCAACACCACAGATTGAACACAATGAGAATTTAGGAAACGAACCTTTTCACACAGTGATTTATTAACTAACGTTATACACTCGATGGCACAGCGCTAGTAACAAATCACAACAATATCCCAATAAAAGGATACAGTTAAAACACCCAACACTGTGGCCTTCACAGAATTGACACCACCCCCCCCCCCACCAAAAAAAAAAAA